TGTTTCAGCCACAACCGGCCATCATCAGGTGTATTTCACTTCACGTAGTTGTCACACTGCACTCAATATTAACATTTAAACTCCAGATTTCCAATTGTTCATTGCTCTGTCATCAATCGCCACCCAATATTCCAGAACTCCCCTTGTCGGTTTTGTCAATTATGTTTAAAATCTTTATTAATATTGACTCTTCGATTGGTTTAAAATTTTTAATTCTCAATTTAGCTTTAATATTTACAATTTAAATATAACTGTATCCACCAAGAATCCCACTTGACCAGACCCGGGATCGAACCCGGGCTGCCGTGGTGGGAAATCAGTGACTAACCACTTCAGCTATAGGCGCGGCCTTCTTTATGGTATGTATATTATCACCCGGTAGACTCACATCATTGGTATAGACCCAAAGCTGATGTGTCCCATTTAATTTCAGTCCCACCTGGTTTCTCTGGACCTTCCTAATGGCATATTCTAAAGCAAAGTTGAAAGGGAGTGGCGATAAATCATCCCCTTGTTTTAGAACATTCTGGATAGGAAATTTATCAGACCAGTCTTTACCTATATGGACTTTACTATACGTAAGGGGTAAATTATGTTACATGAATATCTTTAACTCATTTAAGCTTTGAACTAATGCAGTAGGATTAATTTTCTTTTCAAAATTAAATTTCATAAAGCCCTTTTTCCTATTCCCAGCACAGCTCATTGCATAATCGCAGAACATTGTCATATATATGTAGCTTGACTTCTAGATCAAATTTTCTTACCAGCTGGTCCATGGAAAAATTTTGCTACCAATGATCTTTTCTTTCTTAAAGCTCTCAGAAAAAGATTATTCTATTTATGACCATTCGCTTGCTTCACAGGCTTTCTTCCCATAGTATGTGTATGTAGAACAAATGCTATGTTTCTTTAGGAATTTATTGTAGACATCTGTATTTATATAATTTTAATGGTTTGTGATACAGAATTAAGACATTTTGCTGGTGTGCAGTATAGTTTAGCTTGAGAAACTCGATTCTAGATTATATTTCAGACCCGTAGTACTATCTGGAAAGTAAACTAACTGAAATCCTGGATTTATGAATATTAATTGTGGCATGTACTGCACAGAAAATTATTATCCCAAATATACTGATTACACTTAGACAACATAAAAAAGAAAATAATAATCTGCATTGACTTAAGTCATCATTATATGGGATTACTGCGGTGCTAAACTTCTAAGTGTCAGAAACGTTTCTTATTCTGATTTTACTGAAGCAGATTCAGGAAATATAAATGTTAGGATGGTTCATTCTTGGGAGAATATTACATTCAAAAAAAGAGGGCACATATGGCTCATTCAATTTGAGAGATCTGTGACCATCATTAGTCTTCTAATATTTCCTGGTGATTGATAATTGAAACCATTAATAGTAGAGATTTAAAGAAGTAATATTGGTAAATGAAAACCAGACCAAGAGATATGATTAAGAACTTGCAATACTTTTATATTTTTGTTTCCTTGTTTGGCAAGGAAAAAAAGAATAATTAGAAAAGTTGTTTTTCACTAAATATACTGTTTTATATGGTTGTCATAATGTATTATTGTTATGTATACTATAATAATTGTTTAAAATCTACAAGATATCCAATTTACTATGAACTGTGTACCGAAGCTCAGACGAGATTTTGGTATGTAGCAACATAAGCAAAGTTATGAAATTGTAAAAATCTTTGTTGTATTTAAATTTATTTGTTTGAAATGTGGACATGGATAGTTTACAAGAGAAGAAGAAACTAATGGCAATGGTACAAATTAATAGTGAAAAAAGGTTCCTCTGAAAAGCTAAGGAGTGATGTTATGTCTGTTAACATGTTCTCCATGGTTTATTGAATAAAAGTTCTGTCATGTAATTATCTACTGTGTTATAAATAAATGGCCAATCATATGAAGATGGTCAAAGGATTTTCCAGGAGTCAGCAGTCTTAGGTCTCAGAACAGTATGCACTGTTACACTTCTCCTCAGACAGGAGTCATAATTATATTACTAATAATTTTAGAATTTGCTTAACTAGTCTCTCAACTTGGTTTGCAAATATTAATATTGCAGTCATACAAGATGGCAAAGAAGTAAAATGGCATTGTCACTAGGTCCAAGTTTGGAAACTTCGCTCTCTTAATGTTGTATCTTAGCGTCCTGTTGCACTGATTTTCATCCATGATACGTATGTAATGGCCGTCTTGAAGTGCACTCAATTTCATATGTCGCTTCTTACTACATGTTTCAGCAACATAGTGCCATCTTCAGATTCGTTATTTACGCTAAGCTATTACATTGTTTGCCATCTTGTGTGTCTTTCATAAAATTATTTAGAAAATACATTATTCGTCAACTATAATAAAATTTGTACGAGTATATACTAAAACTTGTTAAGATTATTCATCTATATGTCTAAATTCAAACTCGCGTATAGTATGGTTCATCCACAATGGGGGTTGTTTCTGTGTGTACTGTGTCTGTGATGTGTCCTTGCTTTTTGGCTGTGAGATGGCTGAAGATGGCACTGTGTTGCCGAAACATGTAGTAAGAAGCGACATATGAAATTGAGTGCACTACAAGACAGCCATTACATACGTATTCACTCTCTTATTGACGTTATTGGACATGTAAGCTAGTAGTCTAAATTGGGCACATTCAGTTTCATCCACACTGGGAACACAGACGCCATACTGACAAATGTGTGGTGAAGTATTATAATCATTAAACCAGGCAGACATACTTGCCAAAGATTGTCCCAAATTTCAAAGAATAAGTACCTCAAAACTGTGAATTTTTGTTGTGAAATTTGCATGTTTCCCATAATTTTCATTGTACTTAAAATGCATTTATGATGGCTCCTGGAGAATTAAAACCAATGACGAACTAGATAATCTAATAAAAGAAAGGAATGTAGTTAACTTCATCAAAGCCCAAAGAATAAGTTGGCTTGGACACATCTCAAGCATAGAGGCTGGACGAACAGTTAAAAGAATATATGACTGGCAGCCACACGCTGTAAGAAAGAGAGGAAGACCTAAGATCAGATGGAAAGATGACGTAATAGAAGATCTAAAGGACTTAGGAATTTATAACTGGACAACTCGCACATGGGACAGAAGTAGTTGGAAGGAAATTATTGAGCAGGCAAAAGTGTTCAAGAAATGAAGCTGTCGAGCCTTATGAAGAAGATGCTCATGATTACTTCCAATTTGCAGCAAATATAATTTCTAATTTTGAAAATAAAAACTGAAATAGAACTCTCTTATTTCCTTGGAAATGTAATAATGAATAATGAAAACATGTTGTATTCTGTAGCATTACACAAGAACTTAACGATTTTAGTAGTAATTTTCACAGTGCAGTATAGAAACACCAAAAAGGCTTGATATAAGGAAAATGTGATCTACTTATCGATGTTCTGTTTCAAATCAGTGGTGTTTATTACACTCCATACAAAAATTTGAAGTACTTACCTTGACTATCATGATTAGCTGATGATCTGGTAATGCAAAATAATGCTTACTTCTCGTTTTAGTTAACAAAAAAGCTTAATTGCATGTGCCAGTCTTTTGTGAATCCAGCTGAATCTTAGATTTATTCAATTCTTAAATTAACCAGTTTTCTTTTTGTGGTGTCCAAGGAAGAAATAAAGTTCATATCAATTAATCATCGATGCTCACAGTGATGCTATCATGGTAACAATTTCCATAGAATTTCAAGGCAGTTACAGATATGTTAAAGCCATATGCTTCATTGTCACTATTCTACAAGGGTTGGAACTTTAATAGTGGCAACACTGCTGTAGGGACGCCATGCAATGGAACCAAATAATGTCGCTTATACCACATGTTAGTTACATACCTACCTTACCTCAGAGCAAATGGACTCTCCCTTCCCACATCACGCGCATGCACAGTGATGAGAAGAACAGAGCCTTGTGTTAGCTGGCGGTCTAATGTAGTGTTGTCACGATGTTTTCGAAACAGGAACAACAGAGTTGGATAAAGATTGAATGTGCCAGAGGCCATACAGCACAACAGTGTCATCAAGGTCTTCAAGAGGCTTGCGGGGAATCTGCATTGCCTTACAGAACAGTGGCAAAGTGGGTAAAAGCCTTCAATGAGGGACGCCAAAATGTGCCAAACATGCGTCGGCCAGGTCGTCCTAGTGTCAGTGAAGAAGAAGTGTGTGCTCTTTCCGCGTTTTTTTTATTGCTAGTGGGTTGGGACTAAGTCCCTTGTACTGTGGCCACTTCTGGCCTATTGTACCAGCCCCAGATGATAGGTGAGGGTGACTGGAGCAATTGGTGGAATGAAGATTGGCAGGGGAAACCGAAGTACTCAGAGAAAACCTGCCTCAGCGCCACTTTGTCCATCACAAATCCCACTTGACCAGACTCGGGATCAAACCTGGGTTGCCGCGGTGGAAAGCCAGTGACTAACCGCTTGAGCTATGGCGTGGCCTCTCTTTCTGCGTTACTGGAGAGTGATCGACGTCATACGATTCGTGAGCTGGCCCAAGAGACAGGATTAGGGCATATGACTGTGCTTCACATTCTGAAGGAACACCTGCACATGAGAAAAATTGGATCACGATGGGTTCCACATGATTTGACGGAAATGCAGAAATGGCAAGCTGTGGCTGATTTGTTCAATCGATGGGGCTGGGAAGTGCTGCACCATCCACCATACTCCCTGGACTTAAGCCCTTGTCACTTCGATTTGATTCCTAAGATGAAGGAACCACTTCTTGGCATTCACTTCAGAACTGTTCCAGAGATCTTCAGGCAGTAGACCACTCCATTCGAACTATGAACACAACAGGCGCTGCTAAAGGTATCCTATGACTTCCACATCACTTGCAACAGGTTGTACACGATGCTGGTGACTACATAGAAGGACTATTTGCCACTATTAAAGTCCCGCTCTATGCAATCATCTATATTTTGAGAATTATAACATCTGCTTCTCGGTATTTTAACAATTTTCAACAATTATAAGATTATCAAAATACTGATGTTGTTCACATTATTAAAATTCTCATAATGTTCAATTACAACATTAATCTTGCATTGAACGTTGATATTTGTCTCCCAGTATTAAACTAGCTAACTAAATCCGTGGAGCCCAGTCCTTTTTGATAAGCCAAGGGCTGCTCTACTGTTCAAGAATTTCCCAAAATTGTATGGAAGATTTTTTTATCATGTTACCAAGGCCTTCCATTGGTCTCTATCCTGAACCAGATAAAGCCAGTCTATATACCCCATCTGATTCTAACTCTTTGCATTCCAGTATTAAACATCTTTAATGTAACTGCTCACAAATAGACTCTAAACTGTTTTAATTTCATAATTTTACCTGCAAAGAACTGAATACTTGTTCTGAATTAACAAGAGAGTAATCACTTCTGCTATAATGATACATTGTACTTTATTGTTCCTTTAGTTGTGCAAACTATAATTTTTTAGACTTTGTCACAGATTCTGCATGATCAATTAATGACTTTATTTTCACTATTTGTGAAACATGCCGTGGAAAATAAAATCTTGTATCTCTTCTATCACAGCCATGCTCAAGATCTGTGTACCACCCATACCTGTCACAGAATGTACATTTTAAAAACTGTCCATTCTCATTGTTTGTCCTAAAGTATGAATGTTTGAAAGCTAATGTTGTTACGTACTACATTTATTGATTGATCTGTTGTTGCCCAATGGGCAACTTCTTAAATTGCCACTATCTGTTTCAATGTAGTATATTTGCAAATGTTTGTGATATTCATATTTTATATGACAAAGGTTAGTGATTAATCTTCTAGCATGACCGAGCAGAAAACAAACTGCACACAAACACATTTCAAAGTAACAGCAGAATCCTTCTGTTCGTTTTTCTGAAATAGCTGAATTACCTATGGTTCTCAGTGGCAGGTCCAGTGTATTTTTCTTTTGGCCCAGTTTCTTGTAATCTCTTCAACTCCTCGATAATCTTTGGGTCTGTATCTTCAAGCACTTCACAATCATATTTTGAATAAAATTTTGGAGTTATAATAGGAACTAAAATATAAAAACAGTTATATCAGATGATAGTAATTACAAATCATACACAACATTGCTTCCAGGATTATATGAGAATAATAGAGTATAAAGGTAAAAAAAGTAAAGCTACCCCTGTTACAGGCCGTGAAGGCCCATAGGGTTGTGAGATACTGAGAGTCCCACATTTTCTCGACAGTCGGCTCACAGATGGCGGTAAAATTGTCAGCCTTATGTGCTGGCCGCCCTTTACACCCCAGGAAGATTCCTGGTACTCATTTCTGTTAGAGGCTGAGTCAACCCCAGGGCCATAATGTGGCTGGAAGGATTAGGTAAATTGAAAAAATCCACCACATTGGGACTTGAACCCACGACCTTCTGGCTTGTAACACATTGCCTCAACCAATTACACTACTGTGTGCAACTAATGGAGTATAGTGTAATAAATTAGTGAACTGCTTTTTTTCAGTCCCATGAATCACTGACAGAGATTTGTTCTTGTTCATCTGCAGACCTTTTTCTGGCTTGTAACACATTGCCTCAACCAATTACACTACTGTGTGCAACTAATGGAGTATAGTGTAATAAATTAGTGAACTGCTTTTTTTCAGTCCCATGAATCACTGACAGAGATTTGTTCTTGTTCATCTGCAGACCTTTTTGTTCCCTTGTAAATATTAGGAAAAACTACTTTTTTCATATGTTACTTTATATTTTCGTAAGAGATTAGAAACTCAAGATTTTTCCTCTATGTCTTGAACTATATGTGCTTAAACTAAATTTGGATCATCAAGTAAATTTATATCACCAACTAGTCTCAGATTTGAGGTACACTCCAATGACACTTATGTCTGAATTCTGTAAACAAAAACAATTTTCATTCCTATACATAAATGACTGGTATTCCAACTTTCCACTTGGAGACATTAAGTTTGCTATTAACTTCGGCAATAGCATATATGAATTCACCATGCCATATGTTTTGTTAACATTCACAGCAATGTGCACTTCTTCCATGTGTCAAAAAGGCTGTAAAATATATATAGAGAATCAAGTATAAATTATAACTGTAATAGCTCTATGTGATAACCCCATGCAGAGCGAAACTTATTTCTAAAACCATATTACACGTCAGACAGATAGACTTTCATGTTATGAAGAACTGCATTACACCATACCATCCCACAAGGATGTCAACTAAATTTATCTGCTGTAGGACATCATTCAGAAGTAGACTCCTGTCAATACAGCAATGAACCTTCAATTACCATAAAAGGTAAGGAATTTCTTGGTTAGATGGATAACTATTAGCTTCTTTAGGATAGCTAGGAAGTTTTCAGCATAATGTATGACGAAATTAACAAATTTGCATGTTGTGTCATAATATACGTATTACTCACATGCAATTCTGTTTGGTTTGAATGGTAGTATATGTGATCTGCCTAGTTCTTCATGCAAAACAAAACATAATTTGAATGGTGGTTTCGAATGAGTCTTCTTTGGATCAACAGGTGACAGATTTGCAGACCTTTCAGGCCTTTGTTCTAATTTTTCCTTGGTTGTTTCACTCATTCTTGTATTTCAGCCAATTTACACGACTTCTTTTTAGGAAGCTGATGACCTTTATTGATCAAACAACTTCCCTAGTTTCACCCTCTCCTACTATCTCCCTTTATTTTACATTGATTTTTGGTATGACTTGTATGAGAATTTATTTGTTATTCTCCTTTGACAGCTTTATGTCCTTTTGAGCCAATATAAATTATGTCATCTTGAATATTATACTTATTACAAACTTCATGTTTGACCAGGGAACAATAGTTAAAACAAATTCCTGTATCCTGGAAAGTCCAGAATAAAAATGTACTGTATCCCTATTATATTTTCATATTCACATATTTGCCATATATGTATAAAATAAGAAAGATTCTGAGTATTGATATTGGCCACAGGATTCTTAAACATGCATTTGCAGTGCATAAATCTCATAAATTATTCAACATAAAAATATACAGAAAATTTCAATGAGCACCTTGGTAGTGTTCATGATTTATCAAATGAAAGAAACAATTTTGTACCTAAGAGGGATGAAGTATGGCGAACAGAGGACATTTCATAACAAGGAACTTTGTGATTCACACAGCTTATTTAATGGAATCAAAGAATAATTTTACCAGACATGCAGCTAACAGGGAGGAGACAGACATCACAGTGAAGATTTCTGTAACAAAATATCTTGGCAAATAGCGTTTTGGAAGACACAAAATAGATGGGGAAGGAATAGGAATGGTGGCAGATAGCTTCAGCCAGCTGTATTTTGTGTAGCTACTCCTTCCTGCCTTAACTATCTCCTTCATGTTTATGTACAAAAGCAGCTGTGAAGTAAATCTTGGATGGTGGAAACATTTGGAGTTCCAGGACTGAAGAAGTATTTGGAAACTCAGAAAGATGATATATTTACTTTATACCTGAGGCTTTTTGTGCTATACCTTCAGTTATTAACAATGCTCACATATAACCTTAATTTTTTAATTTGAAACAGGCAGTATTTGGGCACTAACATAACACCACAACCCAGGCATCATCTGTCTCCAGGAAACACACACGTGTCTCTGCCACTAATTAAACCGCCGTGGTTATGCAAAACACCACTATGACCAGCTAGTTTGGTTAGCACAGTCAATATAGCAACTGGCTATGGGCTGTATGGCCGAGGGTTTGAAGTTTGAGTATTGGTAGGGTCAAGAATTTCTCTTCTCCAAGTTGTCCAGACCAGTTCTGGGGTCTACCCAACCTCCCATCCAATGGGTACCGGGGGTTCTTTCCTCGGGGGTAAAACGGCCTGAGCGTGAAGCTGACCGCTCACCTCAAGCAAGTGCTGAGGTAACGAAAATGTGCTCTATACATCCATTCCCCCATATGCCTTCGTGGCCCAGTGCTTAATTAGTTAAGCACAGGGATAGGTTTACCTTTCGCCTTTACCTTTTTTGTTCAAGTCAATATTCAGATCCCACTACAAGTCACTGCCCAGCTTTGAACGTCATGCAGGGGCAAATACCCATCAACTCTGATGCGCCTCTAAATATACATACATATATATGTAAATATATTATACACCGTGGAATGGTCGTTCTTATAGACTAATTACTTTATTGTATGTATGTTTAATAATTAATTTACAACATACTATGTTACACAATATTTTGTAATAATACAAGATTCATTTGAATGAGTCTTGTTTAGAAGTGCAAGAATGTCACTTTATATTGATATTACACCCAAAAACAAAACTCCGTGGCCCGTGGTCCGCAAGCGAACTATACCGACCGAGCGACCGTCGCATTTTATAGCAACTATTGGCGACACTGAAAATCCACTAACAAAGCAGAGTGCATTGAAAAGATGGCGGGTAAGGAAGATGCATTTCCGCAAGCTGCGCAACAGATTGAATTATCGAAACTCAGCCTTCAACAACTTACGCAATTGAAACAGCAGTTGGATCAGGTATTGAATTATTCGTTATGCTGTAATCTGACTTACAGTGCGCTTTGTAATTACAGCACGAAGCATGATATGACAGTCGTAAGGCGTACCAATGTAGGCCTTCGCCCTTATCACGAATTGTGACTTATGTTTCAGGAGGTGCAGGTTTTCCAAGATAAGTCACGGACTTTAAAAATGGTGCAGACCAAGTTTCAAGATTCAGATAATTGTTTGGACAAGATTACGTCAGATTCAGAAGGGAAGACGATTATGGTTCCACTTACAGGATCTGTATCCTTAAATGATGCACTTACCCCATCTCAAAAGATGACCAAGAAAAATGGTATCGAAATCATGGGATAAATCATGAAGAATAAATAATATTAGCTTTTGGTTTTTTAATAATTCCATAGCAAACATGCAAGCATATATATGTTCAGATCTTCAATAACTTCATAGTGTCAGAACCAGTGGTAGTGGGCCACATCTGTTTGACATATTAATAGTAGATAGCACTGTACATGACATTCATATGGCTGTTACCCTGATTATGTAGGAATCGTCATTAGCTTATTCCTAATTTCTTAGCAAGACTGAACCAGACACCAACTCTCCTATTTGGTTTAACCTTAACTACCAAAATGTAGCTGTAAAGTTGTTTCTGTTCTTAATGAATCATCAATGAATGAAGTGTATATGGAAATGGAGGTGTAACTCCATGCATTCATAACCTTAGCAGTGGGTGGAGGTGAGTGGTCAGTTCATGCCCCAGCTCCTCAGTCCCTAGAGAAACAGCCCCTGGTGCTGGATAGGAGGCTGGGTGGACACCAGACTGCATATCTTAGTAGCAGTATAACCTCAGTGCAAGCCTATTATGACTTTGGTGTGGCTATTCTTGAACATGCTGCAATTGTGAAGGCAATAATGGGTGCTATCAGTTAGTCACCCACTCACTTGTGCTGCATTGTGATGCAACTTTACTTGGATACAGAATCCAGAAACACATAATACTGTGATGTTGACCTTTCAGCTGTATTCCATTGAAATACAAAGTACAAAATTATAAATGTTAACTATATGAAAATGGTACCTTACTTGTGTGAAGTACTTGGAAAGACTGTGAAAATAATTTCAGTGTATTTTAAGAAATTTGGAAACTTGTAGTTATATTGGAAGACACTTCTCTTCAGGGTTCATCTGCTTACATGTTCCCCTCTCACTCTAGTGATAACATATGGAATTCCTATTGTTTGTTGATTTTATTTCATTTTTTAAATTTATTTAGTAGTGTTATGGAAAGAATTAAAAAAATAAGCATAGTTAAATATGCTCCTGAAAGTCAGTTCTGGGGCAGAGCTAGCCTCTTATCCAGTGGATATGAGGAGCCCTTTCTCCAAGGGTGAAGCTGCCAGGGTGTGGAGCTGACCACTCACCTCCAGCTAGGGGTGAAGTGAAGAATATATGTATCTATACATCCACCCAGGGGAACACGGTAGCATAGTTGGTTGAAGCGCTGTGCTACAAGCTGGAAGGTCAGATGGATTTTTTTCAATTGACCAAATCGTTCCAGCTGCACTATGGCCCTGGGGTCAACTCAGACTCTAACAAAAATGAGTGTCACAAAATCTTCCTGGGAGGTAAAGGGTGGTCAGCGTGTAACGCTGACAACCTTGCTGCCATCTGTGAGCCAGTTTTATAGAGAAAATGTGGGAGCCTCAATGTCTCACAACCCTGTGGTCCTTCACAGCCTATTACAGGGGTAACTTTTTATACATCCACTCCCCCTTATGCCTTATTGATGTAATGCTTGATTAGTTAAACACAGGGACTTTACATTTTTTACTGAAAGTTAGTTTTAAAATGTTTTTATTAACATATCTGTCTGCTAGGTATATGCATTGTGTTGTAATTTAGCCAGTGTCTGTGAAGAGTTCTCTTTTCTGGGATGTAGTAGTTTGTAGTCCAGTAAAAGTCAGCCAGTGTTCCTTCAAAACATCAGTTTACTTCCATGCTCTATACTGCCGAAAAAAGAACTCTTCAAAATAGCCCTGTGATGGCAGTGTACACTATATTTCTTACAGTTAGTTACACTTTCCTTGACTGTAACACAACAGATGTATGTACCTGGAAAAATAGCTAATGGAAAATCAGTCATCATAGACATTGGAACTGGCTATTTCGTACAGAAGGTGGGTGAATTTCACAGATGAACCCACAGGTTATAGAGAAAGTTATATGCTGAAGAACTTATACTTTTCACATTTTATTTGGAAGCTAATTTAACTTTTCTTGTATGAGAACAGGAGATTAAAAATGTTGCTACTACAGCACAAGTGGCCGGATTGCAACTTGAGGGTAATGAGATTTATATTGCAAAAATTGTCATACTAGGCCTGCTGGACTTGTGCATATGCTGGCACAGTTCTTTGACAAGGTGACAACAAGGTTAAAAACTGAATGTAATATACGTAGAGGAAGGTTCTTAACTTTGCTGACCATTTTGCAGCTCTGTGCTTCACAGCGACTGGTGTACCACCAGGTGCGAGGCGCATACAAATTTTGCTGATGAATCAGTGTGCCTGTTGGCTGATAACGTTTGGAATTAAGAGATGTTATTAACATGTGGTAGTGTAGTTGGTTGAGGTACTATGCTACAAGCTGGAAGGTCGTGGGATCGAATTCCGATGAGATGGATTTACCTAATCCTTCCAGCCGCACTATGGCCCTGGGGTCGACTGAGCCTCTAACAGAAATGAGTACCAGGAATTTTCTTGGGGTAAAGGGCGGCCGGTGCATAAGGCTGACAACCTTACCGCCATCCATGAGTCAATTGTCTGGAAAATGTGGGAACCTCAACATCTCATCCCTATGGGCCTCCACGACCTGTTACAGGGATACCTTTATTTTACATTTTACTATTAACTTTGTAGTGCTTGATGACATTTTGTTTCATGGTGAGCAGTGCAGTTCATGTGTGGGAATTTCCAGGGCTTGAGGTGGGGCGGGATGCAGCGGGATGTCATCCCGGTTCTTTTCTAAATGGCTTAAAAGCATCCTGTTACTTCTTTGGCAGTAAATACAGTGTACAATACCTTTTTTGTTGTTGTTGTTATCTGTTTCATGGTTGTACAGGCTACTCCCCTGCGTTGTCTAACTAAATTTTGCTTTCGTGTGGTACTGTTTGAAGCGCCCAAGAATGCACAGTCCCACATCACATTTCTCGCACTTCGTCTGAACACGTTTCCTCTTTCCACGTGCAGAACAAACACGGCATTTCATTCTCATGGCACAAGAGGTCGGCCAGCGATGTCGATTGGCCTCCTCTAGACGAAATATTGTGGATGACAGAGCAGGAAGTCGACCTAAAGGGCGTTGTGGTTGGGAGCGACACATTACAGCATGTTCCAGCATGTTGCGCATAAGGGTAAGACGAAAGTCCCTATGTGACAGTTTCGCACCGCAGGATGATAGCAAGATGAAACTGTTCAGAATCGTCAGATGCAGTAAATGGAAGACGCTTGTTTGGCAGCAGTAAGGGTTTTTCAAAGAAAGTAGGGGGCAGGCAATTTTCCTTTGTATCAACTTCCGCCAAATAACCTGAATAAGCTGAGAAACTTGTGGAGATAGAAATGTATAGGCTTATGGCCAGCACATTTTTATGGTATGGGGTTTCTGTTAACAAGCCCAAGTGTTACAAACAGGAAAGATTTTATACTGCAGAACTGTTGTGTGTAGGAGTGGAAAAATTTTATACTGCAGAAGTGCTGTGTGAAGAATTTTTTAGTTAATTCCATTCATTTATCATAAAAATTGTATTAGATAGAGCAATTCCAAATACAACGCTCAAGCGCTCTAAGTGGAACTGGCATTTAAACGTAGAGCAGAAATGTGGATTTAAACCCCTGCAAGCAGTGGGCATTTAAATAAACCCCGGTCAGCTAGCTTTACCTGCGTTTCAAAACTGCGGCGCTTAAAGGTTGAGGAAAGATTCATTTTCGTATTCTTAAGACCGATAATAAATTATACAATGTCGGAAACAGTTTGTCCTTCTCTTGCCTTGCATCCCATCCCATCCCATCCCAATGCGGAGGTGGCCTGTCTCCAACAGAACAGTTGTTTACAACAAAATTTTAAGTTTTTCTATTGTTGATTTCACGTCTGAATTCTTAGTTATTTTATTGAAAATAAAAACACAATATCTTGGCAGAAAATGAGGTACACATTTCCTACTCCCTCCTACTTCATTGGACAGAAATAAATTTGGTGTTGAAATAGCATAGTCGGCAAACTACAAATACGAGTACAGTTATGACGGGTACAGGCTGTATTCTCACATCCGGTAATACATACTCGTATATAAACTTGTAGAATAATGTGAGAACCCATCCCATTTAAGCGATGGGTCAGACGTTTACAGTAAATAATCACAAAAGTTTCTATTGTTGATGACACGTCCCAGCCGTAAGGACACACATATTTTATTCTATTCCAACCAATGGGAATTTAGCCAGAAATTTTAGTGGGGGGGGGTCCTTGGGTTGATCCTTGCTTCAATGACAGAAACCGTACGAAATGTTATTTTAGTTCAGCATCAGTTTTCATTTATCGGTGAAAATGGAGAAATTGATAATTCGCAGTAAGAAACCCAAGTTAAGTGAAAGTGGCAGTAATGAACCGTGTACAACTGTAAGTAAAAGTGAAACAATTGTAAGTTCCATCCACTTCAACGAAGACGAAACCACCGTATGTGTGAATACAGCTGCAATAGATAACAGCGTGACTCAAAATCAGGTGCATGAAAATGACGTTAATTATTTCCCTAATTACTGGACACAAGATCAGTGGCTAGAAAAATTGAAAATATACGAGTGGTTGACAATTAATAAACAAGGGCTAGGCTGTACAACATGTAAATCAGTGGGAACTCTAGGGCCTGCAAAAACACAAGGTTTGAAATTATCTAGTGAGTGCTGTGAAGATAGGGTCAAGGAATATGGTGAAACAAAAGAGAAGAAACAACAGTCGATTAGGAAGAAGCTGTCTTGGCATAAACTGTCGGCAGCTCATGTTAAAACTAGTGACATTTTATGCCTTGCTAAAAAAGAAACAATTGAATGTCTGAATGTTAAAGCACAAGAAAAACAATACGTTACAACTTGTCGCATATTTAGGACAGCTTATCAAATAGTGAAAGTGAACCATCCCATGACAGATTTAGCAGCTTTGATTGATTCACAAGAACTAAATGGTTTAGCTATGGGGTGTATCTTGCAGTCTAATCATGCGTGCACTGATACTTGTGATCATATAGCAGATGAAATGAGAAAGAAACTTGTTAAATATATTATTGATAGGTTTTATTAAGATAGGTTTCATGATCGATGAGACTTCTACTCAAAGTAAAAAAGAAGCTCTTCTAATCTGTTTACGTTGCAGACTGCCTGATTCCATGGATGCGAGTAGTTATTTTTTTGATATAGTGGAATTAGAAAATACTACAGCTGCAATGATCAGGGATGCCTTTCTCAACAATATCAAGAGTAACGCATTTCACATTGACTTTTTATCACGAAATTGGATTTCATTTGCTTGTGATGGGGCCTCTAATTTACTTGGAAGGCATGCAGGTGTTGCACAATTTTTGCTCCAAATGTATCCTCAATTGATTGTTTGGCGTTGTAGTAATCGTCGATTAGAAATAGCGGTGAATGATACAGTACGGGAAATGTCAACAGTGTGCCACATGCAATCATTTTTTGATAAACTCTATTCCGTTTACAGCATGTCTCCAAAGAACAAATCTGAATTAGAAACTGTTGCTGCACAACTGAGTATGAGATTAAATACCATAGAACGAGTGTTAGGAATGACACGTTGGATATCGTCTAGTGCGCAGTCTGTGAGAGCCATATGGAATAATTACCCTGCTCTTTATAAGCATTTTCACAATGCATCTGTAGACCCAAAACGCACGGGAAGGGAGAGAGCTCAATATTCTGGATTGAAAAGAAAACTAAGCGACGTAAACTTTGTTCTAAATATGGGACTTCTGTTTGATGTTTTAACAGAACTTGAACACCTGTCTTTAAAATTACAAGAAAAGAAAATCACATTGCCTGAAGCACATCATTTAGTTGTTGTTAAGTATCACATCTTTCAGTCCCTGGCAAATAATCCAGGTGAATATTATTCTGAAGTTCTAACGGCTGCTGATAAATTAGAATTTAAAGGAGTTAGCTTAGAACATGGAAAAGTGCAGAAGATTAGTGAACAAGAATTCTTTCAGAAATTAAGTGACAATATAAACACCCGAATGTTCACCACTAGAGCTTCACACGAATCGACTGGAAGTAATAACACGACATGGTCAAACAGGGACAAATATGAGTACAGTCAGTTACTGGACAACTTGAAAATAATGGATAAGGCTAAGTGGGTAAAATGTCAAGATCCATGTTTTGCTGATAAAGAGATTAGGGAACTCGCTGAGTCATTTATGGTGTGTAAGAAAACTTCAGTTCATGGATTCCATGAATATTACATGAATATAGTGAATGGTGATGACATGTATCCTGATGAACTAAAGCTGTTGATTGCAGCTGCAAATACTATTATTATTTCAACTGCAGAGTGTGAGCGTGCATTCAGCAACATGAACAACATTATTTCAACCATCCGAAGCTCGATGCTTTTAAAAACAGCTTCTAGTTTAATGTTTATTTCATCAGTGGGACCCCCTCTTAGTGCTTTCAATGCAGAATATTATGTAAAACAATGGCTAAAGAAAGGACGTCGACATGCAGATTACCAGTCTTGTGCAGCCCCTGCAGATAGAAGATCAGTGACTTCAGAAAGCAATGAAAAATCTGGAAAATATTTTAAAGATAAGTACTTGCAATGCATGTGTGACTTTATTTTAACGCATTCCATTTAAACTACTGTAATATGTTCGTAGGTCTTAGATGGAACACAGACTATATACATCAGTCGGTATATTTTCATAATTTATGTCTATGAATTAAAAGGGGAAAACCATCCCGGTTCTATTTTCATTCCACCTCAAGCACTGGGAATTTCTTTATGGTAGGTGGCAGTTATCAGCTCCATTAACAGTTTGTTCTGAATTACAATTAGTGAGCAGTGTGTTCCATCTTGGAGGGGTATACTTTGAGCATTTCTGTATGATCCCTATGTGAAATATGGATCTCCTATAATGTGTCAGTGAAAATTTTGTGATAAAGGAGTTCCCAGCAGGCTAGCAATTCACAGTTTGGTGAATAAGGCAAGAAACAAAAACATACTGAGTGCTTACTGAGGAAAAGTCAGATTACATATGAAACTGAGTGAAACATCTAGCTCAAAAGACAGAGTGTCAAAGTCTAGTGCAAGAAGGGCAACACAATTGCCGAAGCTTAGACCCTGTAAAACAACAGTAATCCATGCATGCCTTGCAGCCGCATGATCCAACTACAGGGTTCATTTTTGCAGCTGGTTTCTGCAGTCTGTCATCAAAGGTGAGATTGATCCGTAGTTGACAGTCTTTTCTGATGGAGTATGGTTCCACTTGCAGAGATACATGAATATGCAAAACAATCACTACCGGAGTTCAGAGAATGCACATCAAACAAACAAAGTCCTGGTCCAACCAGTGAAAGTTTGTTTCTGGTGTGCTGTAAGTGCAAGAAGGGTTGTTGTACATGTGTCTTTCAATGAAACAGTTAATTGCAAAAGAAGAACAGCATTTTCAACACCGTATGTGATCTGTGAATTGTAACTACTTCATTTGGAATGTTATCGGCAAACAGGCATATTGTTTCATCAGCAAAATTTGTATGCACTTCACAGCTGGTAGTGAACTGGTCAACAAAAGTAAGAACCTCCATGTGTTAACACAGGGGAAGCATTAACTTGGAGGGGGGCTATAGAAGAGGGCACTTGGAAGAGGCGTGGACAGAAAGGTAATAATCTAATTTTTCTTAAGTGAATAGATTGAAATGGTGTGAATTAAACTGAGGTTGAACCAAGGTGTTTTTGTAACCAACATTCCGATTCCATAACACTAGATGACAGTCTTTACATTATACTATGTATCCGAGCTAAGTAAATGACTGCACGTAAGTGTCAGAACTCCAGACTTCTTGGCCCTGCCAGAATCCAGAAATTTCTACATGAACACTGTATTGCATGTCCCAGACAATGGAATATGATATTATAGATCAGTATAAAATTCCAGTAATATCAAAATATAAGATTTTGAATTTAAAATTACTGAGAATCAATTATAAATAAAGTTCATGGTCATTTATAATCGTCCAAATAAAATATGGGGCTAGGATTGATCAGCGTCACCTGAGAATGATATTTTATGCCATTTTATAAGAGGAAGGATTTCACGAGTAACTACATTCATACACACAAACAAAA